TCGGACGGGATGCGGTGCTTTCATGGTTCTGTGGCCGCAGATGTCAGCAAGGAAGCCAAATGCAACTATGTCGCCGACGAGAAAATATGTTGCAGACAAGACAGCATACAAGGCATAGGGTTCTGATTGAGAATGGAAACGCAAATTGTGGCTAGTTCGATGTGGCCCGCAGGTGTATGGCTGCAGATTGTGTCTGGCGTCAGTTCGCAAAGCCTCTACGGAGTTTCTCAAAGGCAAGAGCCAAAGTGACGCTCATACGTTGGTAGTCTTCATGGCAGCCAAGATGGCATCGCGAGCTCGGTGCTCGGCATCAATAAAGAGGTTGAGGGCATCGTCGAGGCGTCGCTTAGTCTGAGGATCGGCCTCGATGGCCTTTTCGAGCTCTTTGCCACCATCCGCCAGATAGTCGATGTGAGCGCCCCACTCGAGAGGGACCTTTGTAGGCGAAAGCGGGTCGACCTTCTCCAGCTCCTGCATCTCAGCAATGAGCTCACGGCTGTAGGGCTTGGCTTCATCAAACTTCTCCAGTTCAAAAGCGAGCGCTGCGCGGTCCTCAAGCTCTTGTTCGACCGGAACAGCAAGCTCGGAAAGCTGCTTGAGCACGGGCTGGAGGATGGTGACGTGGTGAACACCCATCTTGGCCATGCCAAGCACCTCGGCGGCCGTGATGTTGCTGGCGCCCTTGATCAACGGCTGAGGCTTGCCTGTCGTCTGTGCGAGATGGCGGTAGACGTTGTAAATCTGCACCATTCGAGGCGACATGGGATGCTGGGTAGCAGGGCTGCGCACGTTCGGGAAGAGACCAGTTGCGGGGTCGTGCGCCTTGACCTCGTTGAAGTACGGGCTGATGTACAGGCAGCCAGCCTGGGCGGAAGCGATTGCCTGCGGCACGCTGAAAAGCGAAGTGCCGAGCGTTCGAATTCCGTCCTTGAGGAGGATGGGACCTGCATTCATGCCTGGACCCGTTGCAGGGATCTTGATGCAGAATCGGTCTTTGCTGATTCCGATGCGCTCAAACTCGGCAGCGTACTTTCTGGCGTGCGCGACGATCTTGTCGGTGTCGTAGGCGTCACTCGGGCTCGTCTGGAGGAGAACACGGTTGGAGACGTTGGGGAGATTGCGCTTGCAGAGCAGAACGCTCATGCGATCGTAGACCGCCTCCCATCCCTGCGAGCCGACCTCAGAGATGGTCTGGATGAGCATCTCTTTGTTATCAGGGTCCATGATGCCATCTCCGACGAGGATCTGGTTCGAGGTCATGTCGTGAGGTCGCACGCCAGCTGCGATAAGCGAGCGAGCCACCTTGGGATCCATCGAGTCGACGTCGACGTGGAAAGTGGTCTCTGCCTTGACGAGGCCGGATACCTGAGCCTGACCATCCTTGTTAGCAGTTTTGGTCTTGACTGTCACACCGCTCCCGATCGTGGAGTCGGCTGGCACGGCAAGAGTGGTAGCAGTGGGAGGAGACATGGCGTCGAAGGAAAGAAGACTTGGCCGAGCTTTGTGTGTTTGATGATCCTTGTAGATTGACTTTAGTTCATGACCGCATCTTATAGTCCGTCGTGTAGCCGTCCAGGACTGCGTGTGTTCTCGCATATGGGTTCAAGGCGGATCTGCGACGGCGCTCACGGTCCACCCACACTACCGTGAGTGGCATTCCTCAAGATGACACATTGATGTCCGATTCTGCTCGTAGCATTTGGTCAAAGAGAAAACTGCTCCGGGGGCGTTTTGCGACGTGCAGCATTGCTCTGCACGTACACGAACATACCTGCACAGGGCTTGTCCGAGGTGCAGTGAAGCAGGCCTCCACAGTCAGCAGCGGAGGATGCAGATCCAGAGAGACTCTGCGAGGGTATCAGAGGGCGCAGCATAGACATTGCAAGATAGAAGCACGGAAAACCTGTGCGAGATGGTCTCGGGACTCTTTCGCGGCCTGCACAGGGCGCCATGCCCTAACCCATGGGCTGCGACCTTGGACACAGCGCCTGGCGAGCATGGGAAGTGGCGACTGTGCAGGGCGTGTACCTGTGCAGCGCTCGGCCAAATTTCGGAGCGCTCCTGCGCAGGGCGACTGCTGCACTCGTGCATGGGTCGGGCAGCTGTCCCGACGAAGCAGCTTGAGGAAAAGTAACTTACTTCATGAAGCGGGGAACTCCACGAGGTGCGATACATTCTCTAGTGTGGGGGTGGGGGTGGGCGTTTGACCAGACATGTGGCCCTGTACAGGGCCACCTCGGCTAATCCAGAAGAAGTGCAGAATGAGTTGTTCCTGTGCGCTTACGAGGCCAAACCTCCATTCCTCCGGAAAAGGCAGCTTGGCTCTAACGCCTCCGCAGCATAGCGGTAGCAGCTGCACGGCACAGGCGGCTTCCCTGTGCAGGTCGCAAGATGTTTGTTGCCAGGAGACCTGCACAGGCCGTTTACCACGCTTTCCCCGCACATGCTTTCCTGCGACGCGTACGCGTATGAACCTGCACAGGTGGGTCTGAGCCGACCAGAGTCCGCCGTTCTCGTTAGGCTGGGCAGAAACTCAATACCGGTGCAGGCGCTTAGCATCAGGCACTGCGGTCCTCACAAGGACGGATGCCGTGCAGCGCGCTCCGCTCTCGGCACGACCTCTATTCAAAGTCCGCGGCTTCTAGTTGCGCAGAGCTTTGGCTCGAGACGACGTTCCTGAAACCCCACAAGCGGAGCCCCACATGGCGCTGTGCAGGTCTTGCTGAGAATGTCGGCTGATGCCAGTAGGCTGCCTACTCCCGGTCAGACGTTGCCAATCATTCGCGCTTGTTCCTACGCTTCGGCTCTCAGCCTGCTCCCTCCACATGCAAGCCTCTCCTCGTGATCATCCAACCGATATCCTGCACAGGCGGCACCCTATCCCGCCACGCCTTTCTGTGAGCGCGGCTCAAGCCTGCCATCCCAAAAGGTGTGCCACTGCGTAGGCGCCTGCTTCATACATGCCGATGGAGGTCTTCCTGCTACAACAGCTCCTCTTCCGCCTACCATCTTCGCAAGGCAGACGCATTGACATAAAAGGTGCCGCAAAAGTCCAACCATGAAGGGTCCCAATCACAAGTCAGCAATCAACTCTACTGTCGGCCACGATAGGCAAGGAGCCATCGCTGCGCAGTCGAGCGTTGAACATTCTCAGCCCACTCTCACCTACGAAGCAAGAACAATGGATTCGCGCACCAGCGGCAAGGCATCCTCCAAGGATGCCGCGTCCATCGATGACAAGAAGGAAGGCGTACAAGTGTCTATGTACGATCACCACCACGACGGTGCTCGCTCACACGACGAAGAAGGTATTTTCCGTGCCCAGGCGGAGCATCCCGAAATTCATAACATCGAGGCAATCCTCAAGAATCCGCTCCGAGGCATCCCTCGTGACACTCTGCTGGAGCAGGTCACCGTTTTCTGCAACGAGAACGAGCTTGGCCAGCACGTCGAGCTCTTCAAGAAGGCAGCATTGGTAGCACAGACCCCCAATGATTTTGAAATTATCCCAGAGCTGAACGAGGAGGACCGCTACCACATTCGACGCGAAAAAACGCACAAGTGGGCGATCTCGAAGCAGCTCTGGATGCTCGTCTTTGTCGTTTCGCTCGGCAGCGCCATTCAAGGTTGGGACAACACTGGAGCGAATGGAGCCAATCTGTCGTTCCCGCAGGAGTTCGGCATCGAGCACCAGGAATGGCTGGTGGGATTTATCAATTCGGCGCCAACTATCGCCGGTCTCATGTCAGCATGGCTCAGCGATCCTCTTAACAACTGGCTTGGTCGACGTTGGGTGATCTTTATCACCGCACTCTTCACTGTGTTCCCCGTTCTGGCCCAGGCCTTCACTCGAAACTGGTGGGAACTCGCCATCTGCCGACTTTTGCTTGGTGTTGGAATCGGCTGCAAGATTACCACCATTCCGATCATGACAGCCGAGTCGGTGCCCACCGCGATCCGCGGTGGACTCGTCATGTCGTTCCAGCTGTTCGTGGCGTTTGGCATCTTCCTCGGATTCTGCTCCAACATGATCTTCTACGGCATTGGACGCATCGCCTGGAGGGTGCAGCTGGCCGCGGCATTCGTGCCGGCAGTACCGCTGCTGGTCCTCGTCTGGTTCATCCCTGAATCTCCTCGATGGTTGCTCAAGAAACGCCGATACGCCGCCTCATTCCGAAGCTTCTGTCGGCTGCGCAACAGCAATATTCAAGCCGCACGGGACCTCTACTACGCCCACGCACAAATTGAGATCGAACGCCACGCATTTGAAGGCCGGACATATTCGCGCCGCCTCCGGGATCTCTTCATCGTTCCCCGCCTACGGACTGCAACGTTGGGCTCTCTGATCGTAATGATGGCGCAGCAACTGTCTGGCATCAATATTATAGCTTTCTATTCCTCTTCGTTGTTCGTCAATGCAGGCTACTCGACGAAGCAGGCGCTTTCGGCGTCATTGGGGTTCGGGGCGGTCAACACGCTTTTTGCGCTCCCTGCTATCTGGACGATCGACACTTTTGGAAG